TAGCTAGTGTGAGTATAAAAATAGAAATATTTTGGAAAACAGTTTGACAATTGCTTATGAAGTATATATCGAACAATTCTACTCTTTCACATCCAAGATGATACATCTCCACAAAAACCTTAAGTATTTCTTAGTTACCTGTTGTGCCTGAAAAAAATGTCACCACAAAACGTTTTGCCTTATAAGGGCAGTAATCCTTTCTCATATTTGTGGTAGAATGGGTCTTCAGAAACAGCTCCGGTGTGAGGGGCTAGGGCTGGGTCTTCTAGAAGGTTGCAAGCAGATATGGACAGGGGCTGGAGGATTCACTTCCAAGGAGGCACGCACAGGGCCCTTGACTGGGGAGGGGTTCCCTCCCTCCCCGCAGGGCTGCCTCAACACCCTTACTGTGGCATGACAGCTGGCTTCTCCAGAGACCAGGCAGAAGCTGCAGTCTTTTGTAACCAGTGCACAGTCACACTGTCATTTTTACTCTGTTCTATAGTCATAGGACCAGTTTGGTTCAGGGAGGAGATTGCCTAAGGCTCTTGTAACCAGCCCCTTCTTAGGTATCAGTGTTTACTGCACGTTTGTTACTAATATCTCCAAACTGGAAACAACTCAAATGCCTACCAATAATAAACTGATCTATTTTTTTTAAGTATTTATTTTGAAAGAGAGACAGTGGGAGGGGTGGAGAGAGGAAGACGGAGAGTCCCTAAGCAGGCTCTGCACTGTCAGCTTAGAGCCTGATGCACACATTGAACTCACAAAACCATGAGATCCTGACCTGAGCTGAAACCAAGAGTCGAATGCTTATGCAACTGAACCACCCAGGCACCCCAAGCTGATACTCTTAATGTAATGTTGTACATGAAAACTATTGCAACTTGTAGTATATATCTCAAACACTAGATCAAAGAGTCTAAACACACAAGAGTGGGTAGGATTCCATTTATATCCAGTTCAAGAAAAAGTGAAGCTAATCTCTGGTGCTAGAATAGTTATCACCTGAAGAGGTGTTGACTGGGGACAAAAATGAAACATTCTCCGGATGCTTCGTTTGTTTTATCTTTGACCAAGGTGGTGGTTAGACGTATATTCAGCAAAATTTCTACAGCCTTGGTACACCTTATATGCTTTGTTATATGTATATTGGGACTCAAGGGAAAAAAAAAAAGTAGGAGCTAAAAAAAAAAAAAAAAAAAAAAAGTAGGAGCTGTTAAATACCTCATGTCTTATTGACCGGATGGAAGAAAGCAGATCTAGTCCTAACAGTGAACAGATGGACCTGGGATTCTTGGAATTTAGGGGTGTTAAGACATCCTGGAAAACAGAATGTGGTATTCTAGACTCTTTCTGTATTACTTTGAACCAGTAGATCCATATAAATGGAAAAGAAAACTGAACACTAGTAATTTTTGGTCCAGTGTTGGAACTTCCTCATCTTCACAGTCACTCAGAGCCTTCAGTTGGCTTTTGTGCCAAGTGAATGGACAAGATTCCTATTTGAAGACATAGTATCAAGAAGAAGGGTCTGAGCAGACAATGCAGGATAACCAAGATTTGTATTTGGAAAGTCAGAATATACAATATTTCTGTAAGTCTGAGATTATGTTCCAAAACTAAAGACAAATCAAGGAAATGGAGAGGCAATATCAGAACATTTCATCTGGAAATGAACCAGGGGGGATGGAGACAAGACAAAATGGAGTAATCAGAAATGAGAATTTTTCCTTGAGTTAAAAGCTGTGTACTCTACAGATTACATTTTAAGTGTATGGACTAGCCCAAGTCAGGACACTGCAAAAGATCAGAAGTCAGAATAACAGGCTGCAACACCAACCTGGAAGTCAATGGAACAATACCTTCAAAAGAGTGTAGGCCACTCCTCATCTATACTTTGGTACCTAGCTAAACTGTCAACAGCCAGTTTGGGGGAGGGACAGGGAGAAAGATGAGGTCAGGCACCCGAATTCTTAGTTTGTCCTATACATTCCTTCTTCCGCAAATGGATGCAAAGATGGTATATGCTGTATATATAGTAGCTAGTAGCAAGTAGCAAACTCAAACATGACCCAGGATTTATCCTCTGAGAAACGGAAGACCTCAACAGGAAATCTTGGGCTGGAAGCTGTGCAGCAGGCCTGGGGAGCTCCTAGAGGGCCTAGGTTATTACATGAATACTCGGCAAGAAAGATTAATGTTAGCCACACAGAGGAATAAACGATCAGCAATGATTTTATCCAGGAAAACTCCAAGAGATACAAGAGTGAATTCCATTATTCTGGCTAGATTTGAACAATCCTTTAGTCCATGAGTAAAGAGTTGTTACATAGAAATCAGTTTCATTAAACTGGAGGATATGATAAAGGTAGGGAAGAGTCTTAGGTGGCAATCTAAGTTTATAAGAAGTTACCAGAAGAAGCCTGCTTAGAATTAGACAAATGCCCAAGTAGAAGTTTAAGAAGTTTTAAGAACATTTAATGATGATCCCTTTGTGGATAATAAAGTTTGATTTAGTGAAGAGACTCTATATTAATAAGCTACTCCAGTTAATGGTCCCAGCTGATATTTCACTTTAAAGCAATGTTTTAACTTTAAGCTTTTAGGTAGTTTGGGCCAGAGGCTTTTCACTTCAGAGGCACATTGTAATAAATTCTCCCTGAACTACTCCTTTCTCCCTGTTGAGCAGACTAAGTTCCAGTAAGGATTCCATGGTGAGGAAAGCAGAAACACCCTAGGTCTACAGTAGTGTAGATCACTGCTCCTGGAAGATTCTGAGGCGTTTCCGTGGTCATCTATGTTTGGGAAATTGTTTTTTTCTTTCTCTGGAGGCTCATAGGACATTAATGTAATCAGTCTGAGAAGCCCTGCTAGAGGGAACCTGGCAGGTTCTAGGTCAAGGCTTGAGCACCAGGATTTTTTTCTTTGGTTGGATCTACTATGAGTATAGATATTCCTACCCTCCTTCAAAAAAAAAAAAAAATGCATCAACACTGAGTAAATAACTACATTTCAGGTATTCTGCTAGAGGACTCTTCTGTTATAAAGCCAAATAGCTGGCATAAGCAAATTAGTTTCATTTCAGGACCCCACATACCTGCTTTGTTTTAGTGGGATAAGCCCAGAACTCAGGACCATATCCATTTCGTTTTCTCATGGGGAGAGCAGGATGGGACTTGGCAATCCCACTCTCCCCACCCTTCTTTTTATGACTTTTCCCCTGCTTACCATCAGACATTTGTCTGCCCTTCTTGCTGGGACAGCTTTCCTGGTTGTTGCTGCTTTACTTCCCACACATAGTTTAATGCCCATCACACAGTATATCTCCAACACAAGTTTGAATTTAGTAGACTCCAGTTGTGCATAGCTCCTAGCCAAATGTGGCCATAGACCCATGAAGTATAGCCAAGTATAAGAATTTTAATGAAATTTAACAGCTAGTCTATTTTGATACTAAAAAACTTGATTATGTTTGGAAAAATTTGGGTATGGGAACCTATTTTCTCAACTCTAAATCTTCTAAGACCTAAATATATGGTACTTCTAATGTTTAACCTGCAAATTGAGATGTACTATAAATATACATGGATATAAAAATAGGTCTTAAATTATGTTTTATGCAAGCGATGATAATTTGGATGCATTAAGTTAAATACAGTTAAACTCAATTATATCTATTTATGACTTCCCAGGTAAACTACAGTTATACTTGCTTAGTGAACAAGTTAACCACTACCACCACTGCAATCCAAGACCATTGCTCTTCCCCTTTACTACAGAAGGTAGCCAATGGTCATAGCCCTTTGCTCTAGGTGTCTATTTTATCCACATTCCCCAGGCATCAGGCAAACAGGCAAGCTTCAGAAAATCCTTTGTCCAGCTGAATCTATGTACCACTGGAAATTGGTCCTCTGGAAGACTAGAGGAAAATTTTCAGTAGGATATGGAGTTTTAGGGAGAATATCTGAAATAAGATTTCATTTCATGGTCCAACCTTACCATTAGTTGACTAAATGATACTGGGTAAGTGCTTGGACTTTGTAAGTATTCCAAGTCCTGGAAATCAAGAATTAATGTTTACCTCATTTTGTTTTCATGAGAGTCAAGCACGTTATCAGGTATCTAGGATAGTGTCCCTGTTGGTTGAATAAGGGAACTGCTTAGCAGCAGTTTGAAGTGGAGTTAACTACCTGCTTTGTAGGCAAGTCAAGTATCAAGTTTAATGCCTTTTACTTTGCTGAAATATAAAGCAACCTAGAAGGTACTCCCTGAAGACAAATGGGGAAACCTTCTTTAAGCAGGAGTAATTTCAGAACTCCACCATGAAGAGAGTAGAGACTCCCAGAGTATGGCCAACAGTACTGGAGAGTTCTTTGAGCAGGGTATTTACCTTGAGAAGTCACCATGCTTTTCTGTTAGTCTTAAGGACTATTACTTGTTGGTTCTGACTCAAAACTAAGCTGCTGATCAAACCACTTCCAGTTGACAAACCTATGATCAGATACTTCTGTTTAGTCACTGTTAATCGACATTGGATTTCAGAGTGGGATGTTTAGAAGATCAAGGTCACTTGAGAAATGGTTAGAAGTATGAGTTCTTAAGCCTCAGCCCAGACAAACTCTGGGGGTGGGGCCAATTATAGTTTTTAGCAGCCTTCCTTTGGAGAACTAGTAGTCTACAGGTTTCTAGAGTAGCTGTAGACAAGTTCTTCCTTAGTTTGATCTTCTGGAAGAGTTGTGTTCTACACCCCCTCTTGATCTTGTAATTGCTAAATCTGATGTGTTTAGTTCTTATGTTTACTGTGTAGGTTGTCCTCGAACTATGAATCTACTGAAACATTGTTCTATTCAGAAGCTAGAAAGGCTGGCTGGATTAGAAACCTCAGGTATCATTGTTTTTATTCTACTGTCATCCAAAGTACTGCCCCAGGCTGCAACTGTGAGACGCCAAGAGCAGATAGAAGACTTTATTTAAATTAGTGCTTTACCTTTCAAATGAGAAGCTTGGCACAGGCTGGTAGTGCAGTCTGGTTTTATTAACACAACTAGAATAATTCACCTCGGTTTCCTGATAGCCAAGTAGGACACTAACAAGAATCCAACGATTAGGGTCCCAGAAAGGCCTACCATCCACAGAGCTTTGGGGTCCATAGGAGAACCTGTAAGATGAAAAGATAGGTTAATGGATGCCAAAAGCAAGTAATACCAGATTCTGAAAAATGTGGATGGTCTTTAGGAAACACAAGCTGGTCAACTGGGGATTCACACTGGTCCTATCAGCATGGGATAAATGGGGATGAGGAATAGCTTTGGTTTGACTAATGGTTCAGGCAGGAGGCTTCAAGTAGCTAGTTAGGTCTCTTCTTCCACTAACTTGACTTTCTATGGAGCTTTTCTGAGGAGTCCTTCGTGGCTTGGAGTAGAATCATGGGCTTGCTAGAGATGCTGGCAGTACTGCTGGGAGAATGGAAGTCAGAGTATCTTCTTCCTGTTGGAGAGAAGACAGCTAGGGATTAGTTACTCTTTTGCACATGGAGGGGGTGGGAATGGGAGAGTTAGGTCCCTCAGTATGTACAGCTCCATTCCAGGTCTTAAGAAAACCTCCTTAAAAAACAGCCAGGGGCACCTGAATGGCTCAGTTGGTTAGGCGTCTGACCCTGGATTTCAGCTCACGTCATGATCTCACAGTTTCGAAGTTCCAGCCCCTCACTGGGCTCAGCACCAACAGTACGGAGCCTGCTTGGGATTCTCTCTCTCCCAGCCCTGCGCACCTCACCCCTGCATGCCCCGCGTCTCAAATTTAAAAAATTAAAAGAAAAAAACCTCCTTAATGTGTTAATATAAATTTGAACAAGACTTTATATCTAACACTGCTACCTCGGTTTCACCAGAATTTGGCAACATTAGGATATTACCCTTTCCCAGAACTGCCATTCTTCCTGAAAAAGTCATTTGGACAGTAACCTGTTAATACCAAGATGCTTTCTTAAGCTACAAACCTAACACCATGGTAGCTTAAGAATCCCATTTCTATTACCAATTATAGGACCTTGGAAAAGTCCACTAAGTTTTAGTTTCTTTAGAAGTGTACAAAATATATATTTTTTGGAGTTAGATCCTAAACATTTAATGCAGTATTTCAGGACTAACATTACTAGGAGTATATTTTTGCTAGAAGAGGCTTAAAGTTTTGGGGGTCATGAATCCCAATTAATTCAGAGCTAGGCATGTAAAAGTTAATGGACCAGGTAGGAATACACACATAACCAGAGCACTGGATCTGATCAGCTGGAGTACATACTCTGGCAACAATCACATGCCACCCATAGATCTTCAGGCCATGTTGCAGACCTGCCTTTGAGCAGGGGAAACATCTAGATTTGTGAACTAGCCAAATAATAAGGGCTTTGTGAGATTGATCCATATGTAGGTCATGAGCCACTTTGATTCCTGGCTTAATCATGATGTATATGGAAAAAGCAAAGGCTGAATGTTACTTGAGGATTGATAGCTCCTATTTAAAGGGGCTGGATTCTAGGAAGCTGGTTGTGTGTTCTATTGCCTCATCAAAATACTTGAAGCAGCCTCATTAAGAAAGGGAATCTTGACTTGGAATCATTTGCCCACAGGCTAAGAAAGGTTAGCAGTGGGACTCAGGATTATTTCAAGTTTGTCCTCCAGTGTAGATAGCGTGGATACTCACGCCTGGCAACAGGGCAGGTTATCCTACAGGAGGAAGTCCCAGCAGGCTGGCAGACGGATGCACTACAGTGCACATACACCTGGGAGCCAAACAGAATGGAGATGGTGTTGGAAAACCACATCAGAAGTCTTCAAGCTCGTCTCCCCAGGAAGAAGTTGAAAGAAACTTATCAGAAAATCTTGACACTCCCAAGCCATTATCACAGTAACACTAAAGAACTGGAGTCTAGTAGGCAGAGGACATTCGTGTGGTTGGGATCAGTGATCACTCTGAGGAAGTGCCAACAAGCTAAAATGAAAGGGTAGCCTTGGCTGAGGGCTGGTAGGATGTGGGAAGGATTCTGAGTTGCTGGGGGCAGGAGCGTTCAGAGCCCTGCTGAGGTTCACACAGGGAGGAACATACATCGTACCAGTCCCCTGAGTGCCCACTTTGCCATGGTATCCACAAAGCTGAAGGTAAAGATGCTGAAGCGCTGGTGGTGAGACGGAAATGGTGAATCCAGGGCTTTCTGGACAGGGAGCAGCTGGGTCTGATAGTTGTCTCCAGCATAGGGGCAGCTAAGCAAAGATACACGGATTTGGGAGGGGGTTCTCTGGGGGACCCCAACCCAGGGGCATAGAGAAGCTGCTTACCCTTTCACCAGCATGGGCCACTGGGGCTGACTCTGGGGGTTCATGCTGGGCGTGGCCCAACAGTGATGGAGGAGCAGCCCCAGGGAGGGGTCTGTTCTGTGGAGGATTGAGACCTCTACGTAAATGGGATCCCGAAGCAACTTCACCACTGGGTAGTCACCAGCAGTGTAGTAGGAGACGTAGTGCTTATCTGTAAGAGGCCAAAGTGGGTTGGGGCACTAAAGACCGACCATTGCCCCTATTAACACCTCTAGCAAGTATCTTATTACCAAATTGGTCTATTTAAAGATTTTTTTTTTTTTTTTTTTTTTTTTTTAAGTATTTGAGAGAAAGAGATGGAGAAAGTAAGTGGAGGGACAGAAAGAAGAGAGAATCCCAAGCAGGCTCCAGGCCATTAGCCTGGAGTCTGATGCAGGGGAGGGGGGTGGCTCAATCTCATGAACCAGGAGATCATGACCTGAGCCGAAACCAAGAGTCAGATACTTAACCAACTGAGCCACCCAGGTGCCCCAACCAAGTTGGTCTACTAATGCCCAGAGAAGTAATGGAGTTTTAAGACTGTAGGCTGGATGCTCTAGCCAAGAGGCTCTCACCTTTGGCAATCTTGAGTTCCAGAGTGAGGGGTCCAGGCTGGGTCTCTAGGTGGGGTGGCGGGATGGTAAACACCTGGACATTAACCGGGAAGGCATTGCTGCTTACAGAGTAGCTGCAGCTAACGCTAAGCCTACAGAAAGACATGATCTTTGTTAGCTCACACGAGTGGTAGGATGGGCCATGCCACCTTTCAGTTTTTAAAGGTTTAAGGAACCATTAAACAGGAAGTGCTGGGCACGTGTATCAACAGGATGTGTATGGTTCCAGAGCTTGTGGGAACTAGATCTTAGCTAAAGAGAAAGACGTAGATGGCATCCGTGTTTGAGCCTTGGAAATAGAAGAACCAGGCAAGACTTAGACGTGGTACTGTGAGAAACATGTGCCTTTTGTAGAGAAGGTAGTCAGGGAAGATCTTGCAGGGAGTGGCTATGAAGATAAAAATTGTAGTATCTGAGGTAGGAGGAGGGAGAGAAACAGCTGACCAAAGACAGACCAGAATTGGTCTTGCTAGAGAGTCTCTTGGGACCACAGTCTGCGGTTGGAAATAGGGAGTGAGAGATAGAGGGCATTTCCTGGAGGATGGGTTAAGAGGAAAGTAGGCAGGGTTTCATGCAAGGTCCTAGGAGTTACGTTCATGTCAAGTTTAAGCTATGGCAAGACCATGAGGAAGCTTTGGGTGTATAATCTTAGATAAGGTGTTAAGGAGATCCTTCTTGCTACAATGTGGACTATGCAGGTGGAAGAGAGAAGGCCAAAATGAACACAAGGAAATCCAGGTAAGTGAAATAAGAGTCCGGAGGAGTTTGAGGCTTAGGTGAAGTCAGTGGCAGCGATGCAGGGGGATTTGGTCAAGTAATAGGGAGATGGGACAACCAAGGCAATAGATGGGTTCTGTTGTCAGGAGAGGTTCTGCAGATTCAGGGCTTACCCTGGAATCCTGTTTTATGGAAGGGAAGTCATTCTGGTCCAGCAGGGCCGGGTGGACACAGACCCTTACCTGAAAATACTGTCACGGGTAATAGAACCCTGGCTCCACGTCCTCACATCTCTAGCTGCAATCAGCTCATTTTCATATATTGCCTGGTCTCCAGTGATCTAGAATTATGAAGAAGTAGGTCCATTCCTGCTAGCCAGGTGCTACTTCACTCAGGACTTGCTCTGATCTAGCAGTCAGCAAGGCTACCCTATCGTAAGCTGCATTTTCTGTCCCTTGAGCAGACAGAGCAGGTGGCATTAACTAACCTGGGACCTTCTCACATCACCTTAGCTCAGGTAAGAGAATAGGGCTTCGAGCACTCCAGTGAGGCAGCCAGGAACAGGACCACCAAGGTCAGCCAATTTCCCCACTTGCTTCCCAGGGCAGTGTGGCAAGAGGAACTCATTACTTGTTCTTCTCATGTATGGCTTGGTAGAAGTGCTGGCCCCTTGTCAGAGCACAGCTATGATCTTTGCTGAATGCCCAGGGAAGGTTTCTGCTTTCTCAGCAATGAAACCATCCTACAGACCAAGTGGTGGTCAGCTATATCCTTCCTGGCTAAGATCTTCCACACCTCCCTCCCAGTCACTAGGACATTTCTGTCTGACTTCGCATTAGGAACAAAGCCAAGCAGAGCTATTCTTACCCGTCTCGTGGTGCCACAGGAATTAAATGGAAACAAGAACAGGGCAAAAGCATGTGTTGCCATCACAGGGTGACATTCGTGGTCGTTCCCAAAGGCCAAGTGCACAGAATTTAAGAGGAGTGGGGGGGAGGTCACATTCCGAGACACGGCAATGGAGAAGTAGCCGTCTTGGGTACAGTGCGAAGTCACTGAAAAACCAGAGTTGCTGTGCTGAAAGCAAGCCAATCCCTCCCATAATGGAGCCAGCTAGGTATTTAGCTAGTTGTGATCCCTCCCCTGTGAGAAGCTGGCAGTCCTAATGAGTGACTTGGGTGCAAATTCAGCCATCTGAAGCACTGGATGATTACTGAAGGAGCCCCTGGATTTGGATGTTGCCTCTGCTACTTGAGGAACTTCAGGCAAAGTATCTAACCTCCTAACTTTAGCCTCCTTTGTAAAGTAAGAATAATTGTACTTACTTTGTTTTACTGATCAGTTAGTATTCAGAGCTTAGAGCAGAGGGCGGCATATATGGGTTTTGCCTTAGAAAACCTTAGGGTAGGATTTAGGACCCACAGAAAGCCTTCTTGGAGAGGAGCCTCTCTAGACACTGAACCTATTCCCAAGGTGTCTGGTAGTCTTCCATTTCTGTCATCTGGGTTTCACTTTGCACAGAGCCTTAGCTTCTGGAGTTCATGGAATATTTTGATTTCTAGGAGAATTGGCAAGGGAAGGCTGTAGAAAATAAGTACATAGATTCAAGTATTCTAGGATGGGCTCACGGCTTATACAGTAACTTCTGGCCATCTTTAACATTGGTCTCCTGCTGGGGATGAGGGGGAAGATCACCCTTTTCCGGGTTTAGTTGCAAGCTATCTGGACTTTAACTGGTTTCAGAGATGCAAGAACCCACCTGTGTTTCCATAGTAACAGGAATTCGCCTCTGATTCATAGCAGCAACCAAGCTTCTTGCAGTCTCCCTGAGTGATGGGTGAAGAAGTACATGGCAGCCTGTCCCACATTGGGACAGAGTCACACAGGTCAGCGTTTAAAGCATCTAGGGCTACATTTTGAAGAGGAGAGGGACTCACACTAGATACCAAAGTTTGGTCTTTAAAGAGAAAAAAAAGATCATTTCATTACAAAGTATCAAAAATCAGGGCACCTGGGTGGCTCAGCCAGTTAAGTGTCTGACTCTTGATTTCAGCTCAGTTCATGATCTCCTGGTTTGGAAGTTTGAGTCCCGCATCAGGCTCTGGGCTGTGTTAGCACAGAACCTACTTGGAATTCTCTCTCTGCCCCTCTCTCTCTGCCTCTACCCCATTTATGCATTCCCTAAATAAGAAGCAAATTTAAGAAAAACAGTCAAGTATCAAAATTCCCACAGATGCCCCCATGCTTGGGGTGGGTCCATATTACATACTAGCAATTACATTTCAGGAAGTCAAGTCAATATTAATCCCCCCCCCCCCCCGTAAGAGTCCCCTGAAATTAGTACTTTTTTTTTTTAAATTTATTTCTAGGAGAGAGAGAGAGACAGCGTGAGCAGGGGAGGGTCAGAGAGAGAAGGAGTCACAGACTCTGAAATTGGCTCCAGGCTCCGAGCTGGCAGTCAGCACAGAGCCCGACGCGGGGCTCGAACCCACGAACCGCGAGATCATGACCCAAGCGAAAGTCGGACGCTTAACCGACTAAGCCACCCAGGCGCCCCTGAAATTAGTACTTTTTGAAAAGAGAGTTCCAACAAGTGCCGTAGATTCAGTGAGGCTCTTTACGCTTTCCTTCAAGCGAAGAATCTTTCCTTTCCTTCTGCTGAGATGCTACTCAGTCTTCGTGAACTAGGAACTACCAGGGGACCATCGCTCTGAAATGCAGGTTCTGGTCTGGTAGGTCTGGAATGGGGACCGGGATCCAGCAGTTTAATCGGGGTGATCCCTCTGGATTACATTTTGGGTGCAAGGCAGGGGAGCAGAGTGAACTACAGGTTGGAACCCCTTAGGACTTCTAGGGAGGGCTTGCAAGATTCTCTGAGGCCTAGGAGTCCCCTTTCCTGCCATTTCCTTGGCTGGATGATCAAGTTCCCGCCCCCTGAAAGGGCAGAGTCCTAGTTTCAGCTCACAGATGCCCCTGGGCGGCCCTTGCCTTGCTGTCCTTTGTCGCTTCAGCTTTCTCCTGAAGCTGCTCAAGGCAGGGGAGCTCCAGTCCTGGGCTAATTCTGGTTTGAACCCCAGCCCTAACACCCACCGGGAGGGGCCCTCGGCCAAGGTCTCTGAAGGGGGGCAGTGATAGCATATAGGGCACCTTTAGGATGCGGGAGGGGGCAGCCAAGCATTCTCCACAGTGCCTCACGCTGAATCCTTGCTCAGGTGATGCTTAGCCTAAGGGCTGCATGCACAGGGCAGCTGGAGGCGAGTCCTCCTCCTTCAGGAGCGGACGGCGTCACTGTCGCTGCACAGAGCCCGTAGAAGAGGCCCAAGAACACATTCCAGGCAGCTCCGCACCACCCAGACCCCGAGAGTTTCCAGCCCTTACCTGGGGGATTCCTAGGGCACCGGAGCAGCTTGGTGTTTGTAACCATGCTGTGCCCGGCCGCATCTGCTCCTTCAACTCCGACTAGCATGACGTAATGGGAGTCCTGGGGAGCCACCCTGGACGCTGGGGCCGGGGGTCTCGGCATTCCAGGGGATTGGGTCGTCCTCACCCACTCAGTGACATAGCAGCTGCTGTAAGATGCTTCTAACACCACGGAGCCCCCTGGGCCCTCCCTTACCCAGGTACCGCAGCCGGAGTCATTCTGCAGCCTGTGTGGCAGCCCGCGGTTGTCTGGTGGGGGGGAGGGGACACAGAGGAGCAAAAAGCACAAGTGGTCAGTCACCATAATCACCAGTGCCGGGAAAGGACAACCAACTTTGCCCATCAGACACCGAGGGGCAGCAGCAAGGAGAAAGAGAAAGGGACGAGAGGGGGCTCAGATTCAGAAGAGGTTACATTTTAGAGGATTTGATCTGCAGGAGCAACTGCAGAGTTTACCGAAGGGGGAAAGTGTTAGCACAGGGAGACAGAGCACTAAACCCCCAAGCCGGGGAGCTGTCCGACTTACCCCAAGCTAGGAGCCCAGGAGTCGTTTTCCCGGGATGCAGGTTTATGGTGAACTGAAGGCTCCATAGCCCGCAATGGAGTTCACCAGGATAATCTGGTACCTGGGGCTTCTGCTGGCCGCTCACGGAGGCGAGAGATAAGGGAACACAGAGCAACAGGGACTGCAGCAGCCACATGATGCCACTAGGAGCCCCCACTGGCTGCAAGACCTGCACTTAGTTTCCCAAGAATCAGAGCTCCGCGGGCTCCGTGAGGTGGCTTTAAATACAGAAGGAAAGCCGGTGTCAGGTGCACACCTGGTGAAGTGCAGATGGAGCTCCTTCGGAAAGGATGGCCCATCCAGCTTCATTCACTTTAGGCCAGTCTGCAGCTGCATCGTGTAAAACATCGCAATCCAGGCAATTACGAGCTCAGGAAAAATGTAGCTAAAAGCTACGTTTGTAGCTTCCTCAAGGTGGTTCTGTGTAGCACTTTAGTCTACTAGCTTACTGACTTTGCGAGACCGTCTTCTAGAATTTTGCATATTTGGGTACGAATCTGAGCCCTGCCACTTGTGAGCTATGTGATCTGGGTAAGTTACAACTTTTTGGAATCTCAAGTTTTCTCTTCTGTAAAATGGGAATAATATTTCCCGGTAGGAGTATTCTCAAGGTTGTTATGTGAGCTACTCTATGTCACGTGTCTGCCACAGTGCTCTGCCAAAGAGCACTCAGTCAACTTTGTTGGAGCCTTGAAGGACCCTCGTCACCTTCGTGGTTCGAGGCTCTTACAGGAAGTCCCTGCACAATTGGAGCCTGGCTCGAAATCGCAGAAAAATGTAACCTTGATTCCAAAAAACAAACAAACAGCAACAGTAACAACAACAACAAAAAAACCCACAAAAAAACTCAAAAACAAAAATAGCTGCCTTAGAACCCTTTTATGGTTCTAAGGGAGAATTCCACCACCAGAGTCTTTTCTTAACAAATTCCAAAAATTGTGTTTGGCATAGTGTCTAACTGGGCTTCCTTATAAGACCAAGGTGAAAATGTGGATCACAGCGCAAATTCCCCAAACAAATTCTGACTCTTCCATGGATATTTTAAAATCTCTTACCATGTGCCCGTGTTTTAGACCTATTTTCATAAATACATGGGAGTTTCTTATTTGCTTTTCACGTTGGTGTTCTCGTCCTTATATGCTATGGTTTACATGTTCTGGCCACCATTTAGGCCATAGCATCAGGCCAAGTTATGAAGGCATTCTAAGAGATTGAGGAATGGATGATACACTCCTCACTGGTGACACAAGAACTTGACAACTGGCTTCCATGGTCTTCCACCAATTTCCCCAAAATGGCCTTCTGATTATATTTATCATATGAAAACTTTTCCCAAGTCAACAAAATGTCTTAGCCAAAGGACTGACAATGTATACACAGGTATCTCTAATTCTCTTCAACTAGTAGAAGTAAACAAGTATATCTTCCTGGGGAAAATAGATGACTCATGTAACCATGTGTTAACATCAAGGAAATGTGAGACTCTGCCCTTCTGGGTGGGATGTGGCTTCCTGACTTCCTCTGCACTGGGTTTGGTCACTGGCCTGACATGTCCCATTTCCTTGCCCACAGGACTTACCTCATTGGATTCCAGTGGCCCCTTATTTTTCGTTGCATCCTGAATGCCTTAGACAGTGTGTTCTCGGTGTTGACTGACTAGAGAATCAATCAATGAATGTGCTTTCATTAGTGGCTGTGTCCTGAGTCTGAACCCCCTTGAAAATATGGCTCAAACTCAATCCTTAGGTATTTTTCATTTGAGTAACTATACATGTGACTGCAAGAATAAGAAAGAAAGTGACGTGTGTTACGTCTCAGGAGCTTAAAGGCCAGTCTCGGCACTAGACTTATGAAGGTTGCTCACTAAAGCAGGGAGAGATCAAGGAGGGCTGTTTTTGTTGCTAATGCTTGGGGAGCAGCATAGCATAGCGGTTATTTGGATGTTGGTGATGAATGAACCTGGGAACAAATTCTGCATCATTACTTCTTAGCTCTGTGACCTCTGTCAGTGAGGTACAACTGTTACATCTGGGAAGTGGGGATAGTCACACCTGCCTCACATGGGAGATATTAGTACAACTAACAGGTACTGTTTGGTCAAATAAGATAACGTGTGTACAGTGCTTATGACAAAACTTGCTGCATGATTGTTACTTGTCCAAGTATCAGGAATGTCAACAAGACCAGTGCATCTGTTTGGGAGACAAAGGTGGGATGGGAGGCAATGAGAAAGCAGGTGCCGAGCAGTGGCCTCCTTGGATTGGTGGGGAGTCTGAGGAACAGCTTATCCTGGTGAGATCTCAAGTCAGGCTATGTGTTTACACAGTTAAGAAATGAACATATAAATCTGAAACTGGGGAAGATATCTGAAAGCCCACCCAGATTCCTACCAGTCACAGGATCAAGGGTGAATCCCAGGAGAATATGCCAGCAGGGCTGGGATTAGGTGATTTCATGGTCACTCCTGTGCTAAATCCCCTGAGGACATGGTCATTCCCTACACCACCCAGTTTTGGGAGAGAAAATGCACTGATAGTGTGTGATCCACCTTGAGGAGCCCCAAGTTTAACCTGTAAAATATCCTATCCCCCTATTATCTCAAAAGTAATGCTCTGCTCTTTAAGTTTGGGAGGACAAATGCTGTTTCCTGTTAGAATCACTCGATCATTTAAAAATAATTTTAGTGGATTTACATACAGATTACAAATCACTGTAGCTTGTAGAGACTTACCAAAAGCCCTGTAGTCATTGTGCCATTTGTTTGATCCATATTTTATAGGTGTATTTAAGGACCCTCCTTGGGTCACCCACCAGGGCACTAGGGAGTCACCCATGGCAGGCTATGTTGCCTGTAATTGTTAATTTCATGTGTCAACTTGATTGTGACATGGAGTGTGCACATTAGACGCTATTTCTGGGTGTGTCCGTGAAGGTGTTTCTGGATGGCATTGGCATTTGAATCCTTGGACTCAGAAGATGGCCCTCCCTGGTATGGGTTGGCACATCTGTTCTAAATAGAGTGAGAGATGAGGAAGGGCAAATTCCCTCCTTTTCAATTCCTGCCTGCATGTGCTTGAGCTGGGGTATTGCTCTTACCCTGCTCTTGGACTAGAGTTTACAACATTGACTCCTTGGCTTCTCGGGACTCCAGCCTTGGACTGGAATTATGCCACTGGCTTTCCAGGTGTCCACTTTGTAGACAGCAATTCATGGGACTGCTCGGCCTTGATAAACACATGGCCAATTCCTCATAGTAAATCTCTATGTAGAGATATATAAACAGGTATCTAAATATGTATTACTCTTTTTTTAAATGCTCTTTTAATCCTATTTATAGGCATATGCATTTTTTAATGTTTTATTATTTATTTTTGAGAGAGAGATAGAGACAGTGTGAGCAGGGGAGGGTCAGAGAGAGAGAGAGGGAGACACAGAATCTGAAACAAGCTCCAGGCTCTGAGCTAACTGTCAGCGCAGAGCCCGACGTGGGGCTCGAACCCATGAACCGTGAGATCATGACCTGAACCAAAGTCAGACGCTCAACCGACCTAGGCGCCCCTAAATATGTATTACTCTTTCTGTTTCTCTGGAGAGAAAGACACTCTTTTAACTAAGACACTGCCCATTCCACATTCATTGTCTGGGCACTGAGGGGGGTCGCTGTAAGCAGGGAGGACAGGGTAGTTTCTAACAATGGGGCAAGGCACACTGTGATTTCCAAAGACCTTGTTGAATCGAGGCATATTTTTCCTGAGCCACCTCTGAATGTTTCTATTTAAACTAGAGAACAAAGGGAGCGCCTGGGTGGCTCAGTTGGTCGCCCCTGTCTTAGGCTCAGGTCATGATCTCACCGCTCATGGGTTCAAGCCTCGCATCAGGCTCTGTGCTGGCAGCTCAGAGACTGGAGCCTGCTTCAGATTCTGTCTCCCTCTCTCTCTGCTCCTCCCCTGCTCACACTCTGTCTCTCTCTCAAAAATAAATAAACATTAAAAAAATGTTTAAACTAGAGAACAAGGGTATAGCTATGCAGTTTACTAATGTTCCCTTTGTTGGAATCTGGACACACACAGCGATTTCTCCAGAGAGCAGTTGCATTTCTATAGCACCAGGATTGTTATAAATCTTCTGGCTATTCCTTGGGATAGGCATTTACAGTGGTTTGCTTGCTGTGACGAGAGTGTGTCCTTCTGACTGGAGGGTGAAGTATTGGGTAAACAAAGCCCCAGGAAACCCTCTTCGAGTCTGATAAAGCAATAATCAAAATTATCCCCAAATATGGAGGAGCGATTAGACCATTGTGTGTGCTAATCAGTAATTAGGGAGCAGCAAGGGAGCACCCAGCTGTTCTCGGTATGTGGTGGAAATTAGGACACTTCTCTTCTGACGGAAGATGGCAGACTTAATTTACTGTAAGTACTTAACATGCTTTGTCTTTTCAACAAGCAAGAGTGAGATGCAAGCCTGAGTCAGTTGTGAGGTGATGGGCCCCATCGCTGAGTCTCTCCTTCCGACTTTCTGTCTCCATCCTGGACCAGGCAGCCCACCTCCCCTGCACCCACTCTGCTCTGAGGTGGTCTCACCTCTCCTGCCTCTCTCTTTCCTTTGCCACCAGAACCACGGCCACCAGTGGGGAGGATGATCCTCCTTTTACAGCTGAATAGCTTTTTGGCCTTTGAGAGGAATCTCAATACATTGGTGGTTCCTCTCCCTTGAAGTAGAAGGGGAGTTTAAGGAAGAGGTAGGAGAGTAAGTTGCTAAGGAAAGAAAAAGAGCTAAAACTAAGGACTTTGGGTGGAGATGTACAGAAAAAGTTGCTGTTTCTGATCCACACAGGGCATCTATTAAAATGATGCCTCTCCTCCTTCATTATGCTCATTTCCTTAAGGGTAGGCCACCACTCATACTGGATTAAGGCCCACACTGATGACATCATTTTAATTTCATTACCTCCAGGAAGACGCTGTCTTCAACATGTCTTTGTGAGGTATAATTTGACTCGAAACTCCTTGCAAACCATTGTCAAGCTCTGTCAGCCAAACCAATCTTTGGGCTTTTTATTTGTTTATTTTGGTTGACATGAGAACTATGTGCATGTGGATACCTCTTTCTTTACTATTTTTTTAAAGTTTATTTTGAGAGAGAGAGCGTGAGTAGGGGAGAGGCAGAGAGAG